AAATGGTCGAAAACATTAGAATAAAATTATATATAATGCATTAAAAGGTTTTTGAGTGAGTATTTTACAGCAATGTGTTTGATTATTTTTAATATTTATAATTACCATTTACATTTACGTCTTCCTTTTATTTTGGTGTAGAGTAATTGTAAATTTCAAATTTTGAAGTTTTTTTATGGTATGCAGCTGAAATAGGGAGAGAGAAATTTTATTATAGTGTATTTTTTTTATTAATTAATAACAGAAATATGATACAAAATCTCACTATAGATGATAACACCTAAACCTGAAACCAAAAAAAAGGGCATCTTGTTTTTAGTGAACAAAATAAAATTTTAAATACAATCTGAGGACTGTAATGAAGATCATAAAGCACACTCTACTTTTGAAGAGTCTACATCAGATTTTCAAATTGTGCTATGCAATGATAGGAGAAATAATTTACAGTTACTCAGACAATCCTTTAGTGGCAACTGAAGCTAAAAGCAGAAAATTGTCAGTACTGTTAAAAGTTATTTTATAAAGAAATGTGTGTGAAAATTACAGGATAATAGTTTCTAGAGGAATACATAAAATGCTTATTTGCTATTTGCAACATGTCATACAGTATATCTTTTTACATCTCAAAAAACTGAGCAGTCTATGGCAATTGTCAGTAGTTGAAAGCAGTCAAGTGGTCATAATCTTGTTTGTCTACACATTGACTAGCTTGCTCTGAGTGTAAGATGTGTCTTATTGGAGAGAGAACATTAGTATGATGATAAAGGAATTTACATTAAAACAGTTTACTTAAATTCGGTGGCATGCTGTCCATGGAAGCTGTGGAAGCACTGCTTCCCTTGTATTTTCTAAAATATAAATACATATTGTGTGATTAATTTCATATTTTAAAGTACTTTGAATTACTTAAAATTAATATTTTATTATAACTGCATTATGTATTTTATTACAAATTTGTATACACATGAAAAACAATGATAAGATTGCTATTGTATATTCAGATATATACTTTTATATGCATATTCCCATGGAAGTGCTTTAGAGCCTGTACACACTAGGCGTTTTTCAATGCGCGTTAGCTCGGCGTTCGACGAGCGTTAGTTCAGCGTTAGCACTGGCTCAGTTTGGAAATGGACGTGAAAGTAATTGATTGTGTGTGCCTCCTCCANCACTCTTTAATTCCGACTCTATCGAAGTCGGAATTAAAGAGTGAACGTCACTTGTGGTTCTTAGAAATTTTTTAAACCGAAAAATTTTTAGAATTTATTAATTTTAATATTTGTCTACACCGATCCCATTGTTTTTATTATTTATTTAAGGGAAAGTCTGTTAAATCTAAATTGTTTTAAAAGCATATATTAATCACAAACAATGTACAAGATTTATTAAAATGTTATAATGTATAAGTACAAATGAAATATTATTATTATGTATATTGAGTAATTTATACTTATTGATTCATTGATTCAAACTGTCTTTTAGTATGCTCTATTTACAAATAAAAGAAGGTTCTGAAACCATTAGGACAAAAATTTTTTTCTGTTGAGTACAAAGTTCCTTAAATTGAATGTCTACTGTATTATATAGAGCAGTGGTTCTGTCATATATTCTACAGACTACTTACACAGAGTTTTAGATGAACCATGAACCAACTATGCCACCTGTCTGCTTCTTATCCTGTAATAATCACTTTTGATTACTGGATAGACAAAAAAAATATTTTGTCTATCCAGTAATCTAACCTAATAGATAAGTGGTGCATAGAAATATTCTTTCCTTTGGTTAAATGGCATATAATTGCATATTTAAAAAATGCCTATATTTGTCTGTGGATTACTTGGCATATATCTGCAGACCACATGTGGTCCATGGATCATACTTGAGAACCACTGATACAAAGAACAGATACCATAATTTCGTGCAAAATTGATATCTGTTACCTATGGACTAATGTTACCCTGTGTTTAAAAGTTAATTTGAAAAAGGTTTAGATTATGCAATGGGATAGGTTATATGTAATTACAAGTTTATTAAAAATCTTTTTCTTTTTATAAAATCACTAAGAAAGTCTCTTGAAAATGTGAAAAATCATGTGCGCTCTGCATACACACTATTCTGCCATCACAATTTTTCCTAAAATTACCAAAGACACATATAGGAATTCTTCACCTTTAACCCTCCTGCCACAAGGTGGACTATCAGGACACATGTCACAAGGCCATGTCGTACATGACACTTAGCCAAAAAATCTGTTTTTCCCCTGATAAATCAGATTCGTTTGGTTTAAATAAATAAATACATGTTAAAATAAATATGTATATTTACAAAACTTACAAAATTGTGTTTAATTAGGAACAAACTTTTGTAGGGCAGAGGGCACCACCGCTTGACCTTTCCCCTCTGACCTCACTTCACTCTTGGATGCCGACTAGGAGAGACGCTATCGTTACACTAACCTTTCAGAATCAACTTCGCCAACGAACTCATATTTGTATAATAAATTTAACTTAGGGATCTTTGTAAATATTCTGTAGTCACGAGAAATAAAATAAGGTATTTCATCAGAAACAGTATCTTTATTAATCTTGACTGACGAACAAAGGACACGGGACACGTGGACAAGACTGAAGCAATTACCTTACGAGGTAGGACCAAATTCGAACTGATTCTACCGAATGCTTTGACAGATTTTAGCCACACCGCTAAACTTTTTTTTTATTTACAAAATTACAATTACAGTTTTTTTAATTAGGAACAAATATTTTATTTTTTTAATAACGAATGTTTTTATTTTTATTTATTTAATCATATGCATGACAGACAAATCAGTTTCTTGTGTTCACCACAAATACTTTTCTTGTGCTTGGTGCCAAGGTGATTCCCTCTTCGATTCTTTTTCCATTTTCAAAAGGAACATTTTCATGGCCTTGCCAATGTGGATGGATTTAGTGATGGTGCATCTTTGGGCATTTCTATTCCTAGGATGTTGCACATTTCTTCTATCAATGTTTTACTAATGTGGGGATATGTCATCCTATCCTTCATGTGTGGTGTAATCAGTGAAAAAGAAAGTTTCTTCAAAAACTCGGTCCGACAGGTGTTGCTTCTATGTTCTTGTGGCATATTTAGCTTGTAGATTGCATAGGCATTTACTGCTGCTGCATCTGAAATGCCATAGAAATATCACATAGGACAGAAATTTGTCATTCTTTTGACAGATTTTGCATGACATAACTTATCAAAAACATCTACACCCCCTTTAGTCACATTATAGAATTTAACTACGGTAGGTTATTGGGTGATTTGGTCAATTTCGCCAGTGTAATGAATGGATGATATGAGGACTACAGTTTTATTTTTCTTTGGACAAAAAGAAACAAGCATCTTCAGATCATCATACAGAAATTTTGAAGAATTCTTATTATGACCATTGGGATTTACCATAACAATTCTTGATAAATTTCTTTGTCCTTAGTATACCGTTGATATTCTGCTATAGTAATCTGCCAAACAATGGTAGATAATCAAGAAATAGCTCTTTACGCTTTCCTACATGATGAAAATAGATAACGTACATCACAAGGGGGTGTCGTATCTGACACCGGAGCAGAGTGCGCTCTAATAGTACCTAAATTATGAGAAAAATTGAAGGTCAACGACTTATTTTTCCACGTTGCTGTCTTGAGAACTACTTCCTGATAGGGTAATTTATGGTCACAGCCCCCAACACTAGCGTTGTTTCCTGTGCAAATGAAAAGAAACAAGACATGTCGGATCCAATACTGCCTTGTGGTAGGAGAGTTAACTCTCTTCCATTTATTTTCTTTTATATTCACTCCAAGTTTTAATTGATATTATTATTAAACACTCCTTTATGAATTTAAGTCTTCAAAACTTAAAATAATTACTCCCTATCTATATACTAATGTCATTTTAGAGAACTTTGATGTTTAAGACACATGTCATGATAATTGTCATTTTAATAAGCTATAAACTTATTGATCTTTTCATCACTGTGAAATGAATATTTATGACTAAAATGTCAAAATTTATTTATAGCAATTATTACTTTACTACTACATACTATTATTGTTATTACATTACTATTAATTATATATGTTACTGTGAATGACCGATATCTGGCGAATGTCAGCATTCACACAGTCGTTTCGTGTATGTACGAAATACTTGCTAAATATCATTATTTCTCACTTATACCGGCAAATGTCGACATTCAGCATGCACTGATAGTGAGTGTTGAATAAAAATATTTTTATTACATTAAGACAAAAATGCAACTTTTTAATATATCAAAATAGGAGAAAGCTTAATTAATTAATTAAGTAACAGCGCATGTAAATAAACTGTTGAACCTAAAACAAGCAGCACATTCTAAATCATTAAAGAAAATAATACAATAATAAACTTTACACACAAATTATGTGATTAACGTTATACAATCTTATTTATTGCAACAGCTTAAACTGTTGCACTTTGAATTGCACAAGAGTTCCTTGCTTTTACAACTGCATTTATTTGTGGAACCCTTCTTTTTGCAATGACAGCATGTATAGCCTTGCCCTCCACTTTTTGAATTAGCTGCAGCTGCTTCTCCAGCGATATTTCTTGAGAAGAAAGCTCATCTATGGAAAGTAACTTTTCTTTACAAATTACGAACTTATTACAAGTATAAAGCTGCTTGAGGGTGTCATTTTTGTTTGCTAATTTATAAAAGTTGGAGTCTTCTATTCCAACAACAACTGCCAACACATTTCGAGCGTCTGTACGACCATGGTCGACATCAGGGACTTGTATTCGTACGGTATCACCAATTGAGCAGAAGGAAATGGCAAAGAATTTGGCGACAGACTGTCGCCTCTCCATCGACATCAGCTTCTCGGGTGTCGTTTTGACCGCCACCAAAGCTTATCTGTGCTTGTTGACATACATTGGTGATTGTTCGAATGTATAATAATGTAACTAAATATTCGGTCTTTCACTGACGTATTTTGTATGTGTCGACATTCACCGGATAATATTGACATTCTCTAATTTCAGTCTTTCACAGTAACATATACATTTTAAATGATAAAACTAGCTTGACTACAATATTTCTGTTTTACTTACACACTACATTATTTTCTACCATTTTGCTACAAAATTCAAACTGAAGATGATTTCGTTACAATTTTGATTCATTTGCTTCACTTGTTAAACTCTCTAGTGTAGAAATATGTTTTATAGTATTTTTTTGAGTTAGAAGACAGTAGTAAAATAAATTTTTTCATAACATTTACTAAACAGTAATTGGATGAACAAAACAGAATTTTAGCATTCTGTTGTATAATTTACAATCCATTAAGTCTCTACTATGTATGGAAGCACATCCTGTATTTGAAAGAATTGGCTGCCTAGAGACAAAATTTGTGTTTTATTTAGCTAATAATAATAAAAAATTATATAAATTAAATATTGTAAGTTTGATGATTTGGATGAAGAAAGATATGGATGAATTGATAATTGTTGAGCTGCAATTTTCAAATTGCAGACCTATATATTCCCACTGTTGCCCATCTGTTTGTCCTTTATTAATCTCAAGAACAGAGTTATATAGATGAAAATCAAGATCAGTTGTGGAAAGCTTAGAGGCTGGAGGTCCCAAATTAACTATATATGAACTTTTGATTTAGAATGAAAATCACACGACTGTAGTTCAAAATATTCTCCAGAATGGAGTTAGATAGACAACAAGCATGGCTTGATTGTTATCAGAAGTATGATGTACAAGGGCAAGACATCATTAAAGTTCAGACCAAATATGAAAAGCTAAGGGGCCAATCAACTGTACACAAACTTCCAGTCCAGACTCCAGAAGTCATGTGATTTTTTTAAAAATGAAAATAATATTAAAAATTGCAGCCAGCATTGTAATGTCACAATAAATAATTGCTCATTTAATTGCTGTCAGTCTCATCATTATTCTCAGCAGTTTTTGTAATTGTATCAAGAATTTTATTCTATTTAGTTTATGGATATTTCAATTTTATGTTTTTAAGCATAAACTCTGAAACCTTGTACTTATATCATTCAATGAAGCATATCCTAATGTCAGAGTTATTATGGATTATATAGTAATTTTACTTTTCTTTCTTAATAATCAGAAATTTAATGAATGTTTTATACAAAATCAGATTGAGATCAATGGGATACTTATTAGATTCAATATTATTGACATATAGATATCTGCATTCCCATTATTGAATTTTTTTCCAGTATATAAAAAATTTATTCTACTTAATTACTTATTTATACTATATTATCAAAATAAGTTGTTATAATATTAAATATATTAAAAACTTTTTTATTTTTCAGATTAAAATTATCAGATACTCATAACAGTAACTCATTAGAAAGAGAATTTGAGGAAATTCAATCTATATATAAAAAGTTTTTTAAAGCTTGTTATTATGCAATTTTTCCAAGTTCAGAAATGATATGTTATGTTGTTATGGTTGCAAATCAAATGGCATCTGCTAGCATCCTTTCTCTTCCATTACCATTAATGTCATTTCTTTGGGGAACATTATCTGTACCTAGACCTACTGAAACATTTTGGATAACAATTATAACATATACAGAAGTGAATTTTAAATTTTTAAAAATTTTTGATGTGTAAAAATGATATATATAACAAGTATTATTTTTTATAGGTTATTATAATAGTGAAGTATATATTTCAATTTAATTTTATTTCTTGGAATAATCAAAACTTTTCATCTGCTATTTCTCCTCCAAATATTATTGGAATAGAAAAAACAGATTATTATGCTAAATATGATTTAGCAGTATTATTTGTTGTTTTCTTTCATACAATTATATTAAAGGTAATATTGTTTATATTTAAAATAATGTAATGTTATAAAATACAAATAATTCATAGCAGTATGATGTGATATGAAGAGTTTAGGATTATGGAAAGACAGAATTTCAATAGGAAATGGCTCTTTACCTAAAGATGATAGTAAAATGTATATATCTAAAGAAGAGAAAGAAGTAAGTATAAACTCTATCATTTTAATAAATGAATGTTTTAAATTTTTACATAATTATTTGATGGTAATATAGAAACTGAAAATATATAGTGATTTTATATATTATATATATCTAATTTATTATTATAATCTGTCAAAATTAATAAAATAGTCTTAAAAGCATATATATCAGTATGCATTTTTGTCATTATTTTTTTCATTTAAAGACTAATGAATAATTTCATATTAATAAAGAACATTGTCAATAAATATGATTTAAAAAGGTTAATTATTTTTATATGGAAATTAAAAAAAACACATGAATACAGGTTTCAGGTTCAAATAGAAATAATATGAATGTATCTGTGCAAAGTAATGATGATAAAATCGGAAAAACTTCAGGTTAGTATTTTTTTTTTCTTTTTTAATTTTTGAAATTTTTTTAACTTCAAAATTATTTATATTAATTTATGGGCACGAGGATCTTCATATTATTGAAAATTATGATTTAGATCACTTCAAAAAGTTTATTCTTGTTGGAAGATCATATGCACCCACTTTCAAATTGACTTTCAAACACATAACTCACAAAATATCCATATGAAATTATGTTAATAATGTAAGAAGTAAAGAATTCAAAATATTTATTACAATAAATAAAGCTTTAATTTCATATTATTATACATAAAATTATCAAAATCTACTTTTTATTTTCAAATATAAAATATCAAAATACATACAAAAATCATTTTGTATGTATTTATATATAAAAGTTTTAAAATTTATTTTAGCTAGATATATTGAAAATAACAAATAGTAATTCAAGAGTTAAGAATCAGATTTTTGCATCAATTTAATTAAGATTTTTTTTTAGTCATTTTGATTTTTGAATTATTAAAAATTTTGCATTTATGAAGTTATTATATGTTATTACTTCAAGAATTATAACTTTACAAACAATTAAACTAAATCAATATATAAAGTTTGAAAAGCTGATTTAAAATAGAAATTTATATTTTTACACTACTTTAAAATATACTTTCTTTATATATATTTTTCTGGTGTTCTTAATCCTTCAAATTGATAACTTAGGCCATTTAAATCAATAAAATAATTTTCAGAAAATATTTGATAAATATTCAAAATAATAATAAGAATTAAATTTGCAAATACATTCAAAATTTATTTTCCAGGTCATAAGCTTTCAAAACAAAAATCTTATTTTGATGGGTAAGATAAAATTATTAATTACTCTTAATATTCTCAAATACATAAAGTAATGGTTTAATTTATTATTATTTTTATTATTATTTTAAGGATGTGCCATTACTTAGAACCATTTAAAGAATTCTTTAATAATTTGTTTTCTACTCAACAACTAACTGTAGATGTATATGTATATATGTTTTTTTGTGATTTTATTAACTTCTTCATTATTGCTTTTGGTTATTGGGCTTTTGGGGTAAGTCTTGTAAAATTCATTTGTTCATTTGAAATACATTCATTCATTTTCCAATTAATTATGTTTTTAATAAGACCAATAATGATTACAGGCAGGTACTGATGAAGGACTGACTTCTTACTTTCAAGAAAATAATGTAAATATGAAATTTAATTATCTGTTGTTTTAAAAATTAATTAAATGATTTAATTTACTTGTTTATGAATTATGAGCTTATATTGAAATTTTTATTTGAAATTTTATTCTATGTACTATTTTTATTTATTTTTGTCAATTAAAATTAGAAACAGAAAATATTTAAAATTGAATATTTTTTCAAACGAAAAATATTGTATGAATGTAATTAATGGAACATATTATTCAAAAGTTATGACATAAGTCAATTGATGATAACATGATTTATTTTATTCATTTAAAAAAATACAAATTTTTGAACTGGAATACAATAATTAAATAAAAATATGCTTTACATAATGGTTTTCTAAGAGGGCAAATTAGATATATATTGTGCATGCATATATAATATTTTAATATTGTATTTACTAAATAATTATACAATCATTTAAAAATTGTTGAAAATATTTTCACTATCATTTTCTAAACTTTTCAAATATAAAACATTTATTAAAAAGTAATGTATATCTATGTATATTGTTGAACATCTCTAATAATAAAAATACAGTACTTTTAATTTAAAAAACTTATTTTATTTTAATTTTTGTTATATGATGTCAGATGATTTAATTAATTAATAAAGGCATCTTTGTGCCATTCTAGGGATTTGAGACCAGGTTGTAAAATTTAATTATCTGTTGTTTTAAAAATTAATTAAATGACTTAATTAATATATATATATATTTCATTTTTTGTATATATTTATATTTTTTCTTGATGTCTTCCCTGTTTCTTTGATTCTTTGTTTTTTTGTTGTTGTTAATTCTGGAATGTTCCTACCCAACCCTTCCCATCAGGTATGGAAAGTAAAAAGCCCTGAGGGCAAAACTGGGGGTATGAGTGGCACTTTTTGGCCAGATGTCCAGGGAGAAGCAGGTGAATTGGAAGTGCTCTAAGTCTAGTGTTGTCACCTTTCCAAAATTGCTGACCCAGACAATAGGTTTGTTTCAACACAAGTTCCTGACTGGTTTGAATTTGAAACCATACGAGGCACGCGCAATGTCATATTACAGCCAAGAACTGAATAATGCACATGACAGTTTTAAACCAGTTAGGGACTTGTGTCGGAACAGACCTAGTATTTGCCAGAGATATTTGCAAGTTAGAATTTTAAAAGTACATTTTCTGTCACTCTTAGCCTAGGGATAAGATGAGGATAAGTTTGGGGTGTGTGAAGTTAAAGTGTTTAACCATTAAAATAAAATACTCACAAATATTTTCATAAATTTTTGTTTTATTATAATTTCACAATTTCTACAAAAACCGGACAAATTAATAATCAATCCAGACCATAAATTTAAAAATCTACCTGTCCGGGTAAAAACCAGCCTGGTGGCAACACTTTCCAAGTTGTTAGAGGCATTGGCTAGAGCCACAAATAGAAATCTCAGAGTAGAAGTCTCAACTGGAGACTGAAGGAAAATCAAAAGTGGGAAAATTTTTAGGCATATCCTAACAAAATAAGGAAGACCCAGCACCCTGTTTCGTGAGGACATTGGAACTGAAATTTTGTTGCCGCACCCCAAGATATGTCTAGAATTGGGTACCTTCTTTCCTGTAAACTTCTCTTTCATCTACCTATATCCTATCTTTCTAATTACTTTATTTTAGTTTTAAGTAGGATTAAATAACTTCAGGTCACGATCGGTATTATTGGATATATTATAATTGTCATGCTTATGTATTCTTGCGATGATTCAATCAATTGTGGATCTAAAGTTTTATATTTTGAAGGAAACAATTTGTAAATATCCTCCAAAATCTGGGTACTGTAAAAGAGTTGGAACCTGAAAAAACTGTGTTCAGACACAAAATAAAGGTATTTTCTTTGTGTATTTTATCTTTGTCTAATTGCATTTCACATTGAATATCACAAGGTCAAGAACTTGAGAAAATTTTCAGGGGCAGTCTGTCCTAGATTTGTCAGGTTCTGCTCATCATTCAGCTGTTTCTATTTTGGGCCTAGTCAATCCCATGATATGCTTGGAAAAAGGCTTTCTAGTGTTCATATGATAAAGAAAGCGTAGAAAAAGATAGTTTAGTTGTATTACCAGGGGCAAATTCTTGGGGCTGGCTTAGCATGTGGCACATGCTAAGCAAGCACGGAGAATATAATTTATATCTACAACAGTATTTTTTCTAAAACAAAATAATAATTTATTTTTTGTTTTTTTATTATTTACTATCATACTTATAAATATGTATTTTTTTTCTTTAGGTTCCTACATCATTTTTAATAATGCTTTTAACACAGTTTGGTTTAATTATCATTGATAGAGCATTATATTTAAGGAAATGTATTTTAGGAAAACTGATCTTTCAGATTTTTACTGTGTTTATTGTTCATTTGTGGATGTTTTTTATATTACCTGCTGTTACATTTAGGTAATTACTAGATAAATAAATTAATTAAATTGTATATTGATGTTCATTTTTTATATATCATATTTCTTATCTATAGATTAAAAGTTTAATACTGTAAGGTCTCTTTTTATGCGGATTATTTTTATGCGATTTTGAAGTTGTGCGGTTTGTATTTCATCCAAAAATTTCTTGGACAAACATACATATAGGCTTGTTTAGGAAGGTGGCGTATAGACAGTCTCCAAAAATCGTGGAACACTCAAAGCTCACTTCATTTGTTTCACTGACATATAACGTATAGGACAGCTAGATCTACCTTAATCGCTTTAGTTCCTAGCAATTTTTGATATAAATGTAATTAAACATAAAAAATACTTAAAACTAAAAAAAACGAAAGAAATGCGTTAATTTTGAAGAAAAAGCTTCAAAGTTTAACTTCCTTTGTCTCGCCCTTCTGTGAAATTTAACACCGATGAGTCATTGTTTACACATCTGGATGACCTTGAACACAGCTGGAGTTGGATTTCCCGGGGCATTCTCATAGACGTCGCGGGAGGACAAGGGTTTAAAGTAGGGTGAACACTAGCTGGCCGTATATTTTTAAATATTTTTAAAAAATTTGGAGACTTAAAAAACATTCCAAAAATTCAAAAAAAAAATTTCAAAAATGGCCTTAAGGACCGTGTTTTATGTAACGCTATGTAACCTGCCCGAGTTAACTCGGGCGAGGAACTAAAGGGGTTTTAATTAACTCTTCACATCCAGATGTCAGTGATTTGTTTTTAGAGTGAGCTTTTGCAATTCGGGAATTCCCCTTGTATTACTTTTCAATAAAATAAACTGAATTAAGTTTGAATACAAGTTTATTTTAAGCTTTTATATGAATTTCTTTCAGACATTCGAAGTAATTTATTAAGCAGCCTATTTCTTTTCATTTCTGCAAACTTTTTTATGCGGTTTTAAGTTAATTTTAACTAGTTGTTTTGGTTTTATGCGATTTTAGAAAATTACGGAACGTATCCCTACTTTTTCAAGGCAAGTAAAGTCTTTTTTTATGCGAATTTTTTTATATGCGCTTTTCTGTAGAATGTATCCACCACATAAAACGAGACCTTACAGTATATAATATCTTCATTTAATCTATATTAAAAATTTTTTGTATCTCTGAGACTATCTACCATTCTCATGTTCAGATTAAAATTATTTTATCATTTAAATCTTTGTTGTCATAGATGTGCCAGTGAGTATGAAAGTGGTCTAAGTAAAATACAGTGGGTGATCAGTTAATAAACAAATCGGATAACGAACACTTTCGCGAAAGATTTTTATGTTCGAACAACGAACACATGATCGGATAATGAATACCTCATAGAACAAACACAAGAAGAAGCAACGTAAAATAATGAATACCAATTGGTCTTCCCTTGTCTTCAGGCAAAAATTCAAAACTTTTCGGAGTGCGGGAGACGTCCACATCGACGCTCAAGCCAGTATATACCGATTGGATAGTATTCCTCCGAACTTTGAAACGTTCCCTTGTAATTCCAGCCTTTTATTTTTCTGACAGAAATAATTCTTTTATGTATTCGCGAGACTGTCGGGTAGGCGTTCGCTAAATTTTGCATCTGTTTTTCTTTTCGAAAGGTGAGAGTATAATAGCAAAGGTAGAGAGAGTGGGCAGAAGATGCTTAATGTTGCTGACCAGTATGGCGTGAACAGGTCTACAGTAGGCTGCAGTTCAATCTTATCTAAGAAAGATACTGTATAATCAAGAAGACTCAAGCAGCTAAAGGAGTAACTAAAATCACATCTGAGAAATAAAGAACATTGAAGAGTTCATAATGGAACCTGAAACGGATCTGACGACAGAAGAACACCAAGAACTCTTGAATGAAGAACACCAAGAAACTCGGTGAGATATGTTTTCTTCTGAAAAAGAGGATTAATGCCGAAATCTGTTATTAATTAAAGATCTTTTGAAGAAGTGGGAGGATGTCAGAACAATGGTCTTAGAATGGCATCCAAACCAGGTTGAGGTTTGGGCATTTCTACAATTGCAATGCTATTAATTACTTCTGGATAATCTTGAGGAAGAGGGAAAAGCAATCGACATTAGACAGATTCTTTAACCTTTTCAAATGGAAAAAACATGACTAATAAAAATGCAAGATTATGCATGTATGTATTTTTATTATTACATATAAATAAATGTAGTAAGAAAGTATATATTTTTTATTTTTGGAGGTCTCCAGAATGAATTAATTAAATTCCCATTAAAACCTATGGTAAATCGATAATCAGTTAACGAACAATTCTGATAGTGAACAAAGTCTTGGAACGGATTATGTTTGTTAACCAATCACCCATAGTATTTTTTGTTTGGAGATTATTTGATTTTTCAGTTTGTAAAAATTAAAAAAAAAAGAGCGATTTTTATGAATATAAAAACCATTTTTATTTTAATTATTATTTTTATTACCATTTAATTTTTATTTTAATATATTTTTTTTATGTAATTGTAAAATTTTATAAATAGTTTATGAAATGAATTCAGTGTTTTCCTGTTTCTGGGTTAGACCACTTTCATAATCACTGGCATAGACAAATTTCATTTAAGAATATTTTGGAATACAATACTAGCTAAAAGATTGAAAATTCATATATTAGAATAGAAGTAATTGATACATATTTTAATAATAAAGTTATTAATAGAAAAACGAAATAGATTTGTTTACTTACCAGTAGATAACAATTGAGAAATCATTTCATTCATTAATCTTTAATGTGTAAAATGATTCCCATTAGTATATAAGTTTATCTCTAATCCAAATTAGACAATTTATACTTACTTAGATCATATTATTATATAAAAACATACTAATTTCTATTGTTAATCCTGAACTACATTCTTATCCACTACAAAATTAAATTAATAAATTTTGATATAATAATGTAAAAAAGAATTCTGCCATGCTAAAATAATTCCTGCAAAAATTTCTATACCGTGTTCATTTACATGGTAAAGAAACATACATTTATATTTTTTCAAATGTTAAAAAAATACTCAACTTAAACTTTTTACAAATAAGCAAAATATTCTTTATTGTCAAAAACAAAATCATTAAAATTTTAACACATGCAAGTAAACCTATGTAGCCTAGTAATAAATAACATAATTTGGGGTAAATGTTCAGCGTTGATAAATAAGTTTAATTTTTATAAAAATAACTAAAGTTTCGAAGAAGCAATCCTTCGAACAATGAATTTACAAGATTAATTGGGACCGATTGTAACAAATACAACAGATGGGTCCCCAACTACTGACAAACAAAGAATCTATTCTATCTTAAGTCTAACTTAACTAACTTTTTTAAAAATAACTGGGCCCAAAAGTAAAAGGGAAAATGTTAAGAATCACAGGATTATAAAATTATTTATAGAAGGAGAAGATTCAAAAGGGTGACTGGTGATGAAATAAAAAAACCTCAGATTGTTCCGTCATATGGGTCTTCCTTCTGTACTTGTCGACATGTACCTCTCTTTCCAGCTCTCTCCTGAAATATATCTTCTTTGTTCTCTTCGAATCTCCCTCTGTCCTCTGCCAGATTATTTAGAATCTCCCTCTGTCCTCTGCCAGATTATTAAATAGTTTATGAAATGAATTCAGTGTTTTCCTGTTTCTGGGTTAGACCACTTTCATAATCACTGGCATAGACAAATTTCATTTAAGAATATTTTGGAATACAATACTAGCTAAAAGATTGAAAATTCATATATTAGAATAGAAGTAATTGATACATATTTTAATAATAAAGTTATTAATAGAAAAACGAAATAGATTTGTTTACTATGTAAAAGGAAGTGACCCCTCGACAGATCGGGTGTCACTTCCTTTTGTTTTATAACAGATCAGACCACATGGGTCAACTAACTACAGTGTGGTTAGGGAAACAGAAGCTGGAAGTACAGTTTTCCGCAGGAGGATGGTATAAGGAAAATAAAGAAAAGTAAATAACAAGGCTTAATAAAGCCACACCTATAATCAATGATTTCATACTTGATAATATGTGCTATAAAGTAACTTTGATTACTAATAATAATAGTCATAACAATTGATTTGATTAAAGCTATTTGGCCAATTGTGAGTTTTGCTAGTACAGGTGAGGCAATTCTCCAAGGGAATTCATACAGATGAATTTGAATAGGGGATGATGTTTCTATCTATACTATGTTAGACTTGATATGCTTGTCATAGATTGTGAAAAAAACTGGTTATCTTATATAATCGAGATGGGATGATGATGATAAAAATAAATGCAGAGCCAGAAGTTGAAAGTTGAAATTTGGTACACAGTTAGGGTATGCCATGAGAATGAACACTAAGAAGGGATTTTTGAATTTAAGGATTACCCTTGTTTAAATTGTTCATATAAAAAATAGTGATGTATTACTGATGTGTTTTTATTAGAGATGCCACGAATATTCGGCTACTATTTGGTATTCGGCCTATTCGGCTACTTTTTTTAATATTCGGTATTCGGCCGAATACCGAATACCAAATCATGAAAAAAAAAAACCGCACATATTACTCAAAAACGTATTTATTTTAATCATAAATTATTACATTTAATACTTAAAATCTATCAGTGGTAAGTTATAATGAATGAAAACAATTTTTTCAGCATTTGTTGATAGCAAACGATTGCGCTTTTCCTCATAAACTATACCTGCTTCTGAAAATAGCCTCTAACTATATACACTACTGCCGGGAGACGATAGATAAATCTTAGCGAATTCTGTCAGGCTTGGATATTGTTTTGCGTTTGCTGACCACCACTTGTAAAGGTCTGCCGTCCGATCTAGGCGAACAGTTTTCATATAAAGTGATACAGTGATATTTTTTAGTAATAATTAGTAACGCAATTTGATGTAACAATGAACAAATAATGCATGTTGTGACATGATCTACTCGCAAATAAAACAAATGTGCCCGCAGTGTCGCTACCGCACCCACCACAATGTATCAGGTCGTAACATATCACCCGCGAAATGTACACATATTTTGCCGAACATTCGGCCGCCGAATATTCGGCGCTTCGGCCAAGAGCGTAGCCGAATGTTCGCTATTCGGTATTCGGCAAAATCACTATTCGTGGCCTCACTAGTTTTTATCGGCTATTCATTTTTCCCTTAGCATACATTTTACAATTAAATTCTTGTGTCTGGATGTTTGGAATTTATATTTTTTTCTGGTAATGCTAACTAATATTATCTTCTATAGAAAATACTGAATTGCTTTTCTGATACTGCCTTTACTGAAGAACTAACCATAAATTTGGTCTCCACTCTCATTAAGATTATGATATGAATAACCTGCTGCTTTTAGTTTCAGTCACACAACAATTAGTTGCACAAAATTGAAAGTTTGGTCACTCCTTTCAATGCCCTCTAAGTTCTGCTGCCTGAAATGATTGCCTCTATGCTTCACCTATCAGCACAACACTATCTATGTCAGATTCAACCTATAATATAAACTGTAAATAAAATAACTAATATTGAAATTGTGAAATATAGTTTACAATAATAAATTTTCAGTTTTAATTTTAAATTAAAATGTGTTTTTTTTTTTCAGACAATTCACAACCAAAGAATTTAATCCACCAATGTTATGGTATTTTGTTAAATGCATTTACTTACTTCTGTCTGCTTTTCAGTTACGATCAGGCTATCCAACACGTATTTTAACAAATTGCTTTTGTAAACATTATAATTATATTAATGTAATTTTATTTAAAGGGTAAGTAATTTATTTATTTAACATTTAATTACAGTCATTATTAAATATTTTATATATATTGTAGGTATTTACTCATCCCATTTTTATATGATATACGCACAATGATGGATTGGATGTGGACTGATACTAGTTTGAACCTCACAAATTGGCTGAAATTAGAAGATATATATTCAAATACCTTTATTTTAAAGTGTTGGAGACGGGCAGAAGATGATTATCCTGTTCCAAGAGGAATAAAATATGCTTCAACAAAAAAATATGGAATTGGCGGTAGTCTTGTTATGCTAATAATTTTTATTATATGGTTTCCGTTACTGCTATTTGCCTTAAGAAATACTGTGGGTGATCCTAACATTCCATATGAATGCACACTCGAGTTGGCTATTAGTGAATATGAACCAATTTTTAAAGTTAGTGCTCGGCGTGAAGCTCTCAAAATCCTTACTGAAACTGAATGGGATAATACATTATATACTTTTCAGAAGGAGCCTTCTGCAATGACATTTCTGACAAATTATCATGCAAAAGATACGGCTTTAATTAGCTTAAGTGGGAATTCTGCTTCATTTTGGACAATCAGCTCTCCTAGTCAAGATGCATTAATTAAAGAATTAAAGAGTGATAATGTTTTAAAAATGAAATTGAGTTTAGCATTTTTTCGTACAGTAAATAAATATAGCGATTCAGAAAAAATTGTTACAAATGAATATGAAATTCCTTTGATAAATAAAACTGCAAGAAATTTAATAGCATCTGTTCTTAAAGGAGAAGAAAATAAAACATCAATTGTTATTGATAAAATATTTCCAAAATATTTGAGAGTTCTTGTTAAGGGAAATGTCATTCCAGTGAAAGAATTTGCAAAATTTGGTAAGAAATTATTTCCATGATTTTTTATCTAATAATTTATAATAAATATATCAGAAATTTTAACTGTAAAACTAACAAATTTCTCAAATCTACATGAAAATGAAAAAAAAATATATTATATTATATTTGTTAGATTTTTGTTTTTGTTAGGACAATTATCAATTTTACATTAATTATATACATATATACAGGTAGCCCTCGGTTTATGCCGGCTCAATTTACACCGATTCACAATAATGCCGCTACGCAATTTGCCGTTTCATGGTGTAATTCCTCAATTTTCCTTATTCCAGACTGATTTTCATTTCAGTGTTGACGTATTTACTGAGCCGCGACATTGTACATTCATTAAAACAAAGATTTTTATTGAATATATTTAGTTTTTCTGTTTAATATTATTGGGTTTGTATACATTTGCATTAAATTAATATTAAAACACTAAATGTTTAGGTACCCATGAGTCAAGTTATCAAACTTAATAGTCCAATAAATGGCGTCTGAATCCATAGCGCCAATGAATGTATCTCGTATCAGTTCATTCAGGAAAACACCTTACAATGCAGTAGCACTTCCGGCGATCACAAACTATCGTTAGTGAGACAAATCTACTTCTCGTTGGCCAGATGATACTTTTTTATTAGCCAGACAATATCTATCTCTCCTTAGCCACCTTCAATTTTCCCGCTTAAACTGACCTTATACATGCACTATGGTGTCGACCAATCAGAGTCTCTGCTTGTCCGTAGCTCTACGTCGGGTTAACGTATCCTTTCAACTATGGAAAGTTTGACGGATGAACTTTGTGAGTTAGACAATGATTGGGAGCGAAGTGCAAATGTAAAAAGAAGCATCATCGCATCCATTCGACCATATTCCGAAATTCTCAATGAAAGAAAACAAAAATGTAAACAATTAAAGATGGGTACTTTTTTTCCGAAAAATGTAAGATATCCGAAACTAAAATTTTTTAATAAAAACATTTTACTTTATTTTATGATAAAATATATTTTAAAAATTAAATTTATATGTATTTTGTATTATATTGTATTAATAAACAAAATTATTTGCTTATTTTTCACTTATGTAGAACCTAACCCTATACCTCACTATAAATATGGGTTCGTTTTACGCCAATTCGATTTGTGCTGGCTTTTGTAGGAACGGAACTGCGGTGTAAACCGAGGGCTACCTGTAATTAATATGGAATTGAAACTGTCTGTGTGTTAAAATAAAATCCCATAAGTTTCATAAAAATGCCCATGCAAGCTGAAATCATGTAAAGTACGTTTACTGTAATAGTAAGTGGTAAAAATTACAACTGTTTCATCTTTAAAAAAAGTTTATCTAAATATTAAAAACTTTCTATCTGTCAGATATAAATGTATAGAAAAATGAGAAATACCACAGTAAAACTAATTATGTATTTAATACACTAATTTAAAATGTTAAGAATATTTTACAAAACAATTAGATTTAATTCTAAAACTTATCAAGAATAGCTTGAACAGTATTTGCCTTTTCCTTTTTGTCATATAAACTTACAATATGGAGTGAATATCTTTTCTATGAATTGATTTGGTTGTGCTAGACCAAGGTCTACCAAGCTACACAAACAAATAGCCAGCTTACAAATTCTCACTTTATTTAACACAGGGTTCGTGTTTCAGCAATTTGAAGGCTCATTTTAACTCTCAACAAAGACACAACTACACAACCACGTGTCCCGGAATTCAATATTACTAATCCCTTTGCTCTCCTTCCTCCTTCGCGTCGCGTAACACAGTTCAGACTCGTCACATTAACGCGTGAAGAATGGTTTGTTTAACAGTCTACTCACTAGAAAATCCGGCACTAAAATGATCAGTTATCGGGCCAACATCTATTCCTAGGCGGGAAATCTTTGCTACCATCGATGTCTCGGGTATTATAGCTTCTTTACTTGTACAGTCCACTCAGTTTATTCTGCGTACAGCACAGATGAACTTCGATTCTGTCCCCTTCTCTCGATGTTCGAATCCTTTCTCCTTTGGTAAGTTTCGGCTCTTCTCGATGGCGTTCTCTGACCCTTTACGAACAGCAATCCTTCGTAGATGGAAGGGAAAAAGGAAAAAGATCCCCTGGCACACACGTGTACCTGCTATATATACCCCTGGTTAGCCAAACCCACCTGACCTCTTTGGTGGCCAATCAAAAGGTCCGGCTTCAAACAAAGGAGCGAGGTAGAGAGTAAGGGTTACACGTGTCTGAACAGATGACAAACACAAAGCAACAAAAAAAACCCAACACAATTAAACAAAATAAAACTTAAGCCTAGTACAAATGATAATAACTATACAAATAATATTTATATACAATACTAAGAACAATCAATAAGTGGCAGAGCACTACAGAATTAACAAATTGTCATACTTCTTTTTAAGTTTGGGTAAGCTTTCAAAATTTTATTCTTTGCACTTTTGCATTTTATCATTTATTCAATGTTGTGAAATACAGTAGATCCCCCTATAAGACGGTAGATACGTTTCATTCTTTATGAATCAATTTTGTAGGAATCACAGTTTACGGACTATGGCTGTTTGAAAGGTTTTCTTCCATAAAATTAATCGATTCTAGACTAATTCAACTCAACATTTCCAAAATACGTATATTTTTTTGGAAATAATCTGTATAAACTATGTTATAAACAAAAAAATTGTAGGATTACTTACCGAGTGTGCACCGTTCGACTACGCCCGTTGCTAAAGCTTGTTTTCGTCGTGGAACAGCACATCAAACGGCGGCCACGATTTCTGATATTATTTTTCTGCGAAAACTTCGTTGACCTTTGGAGACATCATTAATATAAATAATTTTTATGGCCGTTAAATAAGAAATGTTTCTTTCACAAGAAACGTATAAAATTACAGTGCTATATTAGACTTACGGTACCTAATTTACATACTGTACAGACGATATCTAGCCTAAACTCTCCATAGCGCCACTAGACGGCGAAAAATATATATATAATTATAATAAAGTTACAATATCTAATTATATATATAGTACTTAATTTATATATAATTATATGTACTGTACAGACAAAATTAAACTCAATTTACCCGCCTAAACGTCCGTAGCGTGGCGCTATGGACGGCGGGAAAGTAGTTCGGCTGCCCGATGACGTTTTACGTAATTATAGTTTTTTTATCGTTGTGTACGGATACCGCCACAATTTTTTCGTCGTCTTATAGGAATCGTAACTATAGGAAACAGTTTTATAGGGGGATCTACTGTATTTAAGAGTTTGTTTAATGCGAACTATTTTCAGGGTTAGTTATTTATTCAATGACTATTTGAATTTTTTTCAAATCTTGAACAGTTATTTGCACAGTGTAGTAAGTTTCTACCATACTGCACACATATTTCTCTCTGTTACTCCTGCTGTAATGCTTGAATGTTTTCAGTTGCATGATCTATTATTATTGTAGGGTAAATAGCCTTCTGAAAATTTGTCTAAAATACTAGGCTTTAAAAGTTGAAATGATTCCTTGGTCTATTAGCTGGATTAATTAGATGTAATGCCATAAAGAGCCATGAAGGAGTTAAAGTTAGTGTTATGATATGTACTAGTGGCGACACTAGCGGCCACCCCAACAGTCTTCTATCATCAGTCATAGAGCACACCACGTGTGTCTCCTCTTGTAAAGTGTTTAGTTTTATTAAATAATACATTAGGTTTGCTAGTCATCTTAATAGTGCAGTATACAACATATATAACAGTTAGATGAACTTTATTAAAAGCAACACAAGTCTTCTAATAAAATTTATACTTATCTATTGGTCTGAAAATCAATAGAATCACTAAACAAGTGGTTGTTGTTTGGTGGTAAATAGGAAATTTACCACCAAACTTCAACCACTTTTATTCAAGACCACTATAAAATCAGTGTGTCCTCAAGCATTATCCAATGGTGGTAGTGTTATAAAAGATAAATTATTTTGTTTGTAATATCTCACAAATACTGGGCAAGAGTATAATTGGCCTTGAAACAATGTTGTGGTAGTTTGTTATGTGATGTGATATTGCCCACGAAGGAAAGGTACACACAAAAGAAAAGACAACTTAGGTTACACAATCCTTTCTTTATTCAAGATGAATGGGTTAGGTTCTAAAGAATTTCAACTGTTGTTGTAAAACTTTACAAAATTTGAGGTCCATCACATCAGGATTTTTTTCTTTGTTGTGTTTTCATACAATTCAGGAGTATAATTTTCCCACAGAATAGTCACTTAACAATTTTCTTAATCAAACTGCATACGAAAATCTAACTTAACTAACTCTTAAACTACCTTAAAATTAACTTAACCTAAAGAGAGAAATAGGAATATGAAAGCGAGGAATGAGGAAGAATGGAAGTCTACAGTCATCTGAGATTTGTTCTTTTGTCTGCGCTGGTATGCTCTTTGGGTAGGAGTTCTTTTGGAGGTTATTGTACTTGCCATCTTGTCGATTCCTTTGCTGACTGCAGGGTTCTCGATTTTCAAATTCTCTTCCCAATTCAATGCCTAAGTATGATCCTTCTTCCTATCCCAAACTATGCAATCCTCTCTGAGGTTCAAAAATTGTTTTCGAGCCTTCCACTAGTACAGATATCCTTTCGTACCTCTTTTCTTAACAGTTTTTGTCCTCACAATCCTCTTGTCTAGATCTCCCTTTGACCTTCTTAGCGATGCGTCTAACCCCTTCGGTCTCCAGTCCAAAACTGACCAACTCGTCGGTCATTTTTCGCCCAGTTACCCTACCTCCTAGTGTTCTCCTCCTGTTCATGGAATGGCTAATCCTACCCAAAGGTAATAACGGTCATCCCAGAAAGTTCCAGGAATGGATAGAAGAAAGAAATAGAGGAAATTATTGAAATAGAATAGAATTATGACTATATAAATATACAAGTTTTGATATATACAAATATATATATATGGCTGACGGCCACAATGTTGTTGTAATTCATGATTTTTTTTTATTTGCATGCTAAACGACTGGTAGAGATGCTTTGTTATGATTTTTTTAACACACTGGGATTCTCAGACCAACAGATAATTATAAAATTTATTAGAATGTGTTGCTTTTAATAGAGTTAATCTATCTTTAATTATTTCATGGCTACTTTATGATCTTACATCTTTCATTGCACAAGTTCTTGATGTATTATCTTCCAAAAAAGACCAGTCTCATCAAAATTAAATACAGTGGGTGATCGGTTAACGATTATAATCCGTTCCAAGACTTTGTTCACTATCGATTTACCATAGATTTTTATGGAAATTTGATTAATTCGTTCTGAAGACCCCAAAAATAAAAAAATATATACTTTCTTACTAAGTTTATTTATATGTAATAAAAAAAATACATACATACACAGTCTTGCATTTTTATTAGTCATGTTTTTTCCATTTGAAAGGGTTAAAGAATCTGTCTAATGTTGATTTAGTGAATGTCTCTTCAATCCGAAAAATGTAGACTACCTCACAGCCATTTCAGGTTATAAACTGCTTTTATTGCTTTTTACAGATGCATTTCAAGCTTTTTATTTTGTAACACTTATTTTGTAACTTACTACAAAATTTATTTTGTAGCACTGAGGAGCTAGAATATTAACGTAGCTTGAAATGCATCTAAAAAGCAATAAAAGGAGTTTATAACCTGAACTGGCTCTGAGGTAGTCTACTGAAAAGATTTTTTTGGATTGAAGAGACATTCACTAAATCAACATTAAAAACAGCTAAACCATCGGAAAATTCAGAATCTGTCTAATGTCGATTGCTTTTCTCTCTTCTTCAGGATTTTTCAGAAGTAATTAATAGCATTGTAATTGTAGAAATCCCCAAACCTCAACCTAGTTTGGATGCACTAAGACCGTTGTTCTGACATCCTCCCACTTTTTCAAAAGATCTTTAATAGCAGATATCGGCATTAATTCTCTTTTTCAGAAGAAAACATATCTCGCTGAGTTTCTTGGTGTTCTTCATTCAAGAGTTCTTGGTGTTCTTCTGTCGTCAGATCTGTTTCAGGTTCCATTATGAACTCTTCGATGTTCTTTATTTCTCAGATGTGATTTTTGTTACTCCTTTAGCTGCTTGAGTCTTCTTGATTATACAGTATCTTTCTTAAATAAGATTGAACTGCGGCCTACTGTAGACCTGTTCACTCCATACTGCCCAGCAACATTAAGCATCTTCTGCCCAGTCTCTACTGTGAGCCGCCAGGGAGGTCGGGAAGTCCTCTCCTTCCGGCCACAGGTCGGTGACCTACTTTTCTTGTCAGGGATGGTAGTAACATGATACCATTGCCTGTGCATGGGCAATGGGATCATGTAATTGCTTGCATAACTGAATCAACACACAGTCTCGGCTTCCATGTCAATTGGGACATGGTGGTGTCAGTCCTGATGAGACACTAGAGGTGCCGACCCTCCGGTCACAACTGAATAACAGATATTCAGTTACTAATCACCAATAGACTTTGAAAGAAGTGGCATAATTGGTCAGTGATCATGATTTCATTTAGTAATTTATGAACTGAAGAACTAGCAGCAAATGTCATTTGTAGTTTAGTTTATATTTTATGCATTTACTCATAGTTAATATATCAATGTAACAAATTTAAACTGTATTGTTGGGGAAATGTTATTTTAACTAAACCATAATAACTGAAATTTGTGTATATTGGAATTATGCAAAGCAAAGACTGCCTGTATATAATATTATACAAGAAGTTTACATTCTGTTGACTGGATTAAGATGAAGATGCTTAATAAAAAAATTAGCCAGAATAATATCACAACTTTTTGCATTAAATAAAGCAACTCAAAAACTTTCACTCTATTGCTGACAATATTGCTCCTGACAAGAATTGCTGCAAAATAGCAACCATTAATGAGAAAATGATGTGCACATTGTGGCTTTGGGAAACTTAAATTCCCAATAACTGTAATGAGACAATTTAGATATGAATTCAACAAAGATCCATCAAGTGAAAAATATTAAAGCAATGACTTAAACAATTTCAATAAGCCAGCTTACACTGTAGTTTATAGTGATAAATCTACAATGTCTGTAGAGAAAGTAAACAATATTCAAGCAATGTTTCAGTGAAGTTCAGAAAAATTATCCATTATACTAACCTGGAAACTATGGAAGTTGATCCATAAGAGACAAAGGAGATATGTTCCAATATTTTTGTATTAGCAAATTGTCCCTTCCTAAAATTTTACAACATATAATGCAACAAAAATTAGAAGTAGAAATGAGTACTGAAACCTTATATATTTTTATATTCATTCAAAACTAGACAATGTGAAATTTTTCTTATTTATTCTCATTGGCTTGACCCTTCCCCAATATAGATACAGATTGATGCTAATGCTGGAATCACAAATGCTTCAACTAATAATGCATAAGATAGTTCACAGGTAAGTGAAGCTTAATGTTTACAAACTGCAAATTCTGCAGAAAATTAAGCACAATGACAAATATCAGTGTATGAATGAAATTCAATCAATATTCTTGACCATATTCAAGAAGACAGACAGTTTCTAGAAAATGTCTTCAGCAATGAAACTACATTCTATGTATCAAAGTTAACAAAACAGTTTCAGCATTTGGAGATTGAAAATCCACATATGTTTTGTGAACACAAGCAAGATAAGTTAAATATCTAGGGGGAATTTAGTGGAAAGTCTGGATGAAGGCTGTTAAACACTTTGGCAATGCCCATCATCAAAATAACTTATGTCTATTCCTCCTTACTTATCTTTATCTGTAAAAGAATAAATAAAGATCAACATAATATATGATTACAAATGTATAGGTGTGAGAGTATAAAATGTGAGAACGAATCGACACGTTGAACTTAAGTGATTTCTACAAAGGGAGAATTTAGAACAAGCATGCTTGATGGAGCAGACACTTGGCAGGGGAAATCCACTGAACTCAATAAGGACTAGACAAAGACAACTATCTTGGTTTACAAAATAACCCTTTCATTTTGTCTGGGAGCATACAGTACTTCTAAAAATTTAAGACACGGGAACTTATGGAGCCCGACAATCTAGTATACCGAATATCGTTAACATTAAATCTCCCGACAATATACTGCACAAAACTCCCGAAACGTGAAGACATAAAACATACCAACAAAATGGGTTTGAGGTAAATCTCTTCGTTTTCTTCACTATAGGCAGAAAACAGTTCAAAAAATTCCATCAATCTCCATACTGACTTGGTTGCACAGTCTTTATTTTCCCACGCAATTTCACCACCACCACTCCTTTGCTTCTTCTCCTTACTTCTGTTCTGACTTCTCCTCAAGACATACCCTCCAATAAAACACTCGCCCTCGGTTACACACTCCGGGATTACAGAACTCCTCTCCACTGAGTCGGACCCACCACATGGCAAGGGGGACAAGAAAAGACGTAAGGCACATAGGGATACCCTATATATGTAATTAAAACAAAAGTGTAGTTGGTATAGTTGTCTTTTGATTCATTTTGCTTTTTTATCTACTTTTTTTAACCTATTCATAAATTGTTTCATTAGGAAGCCATATTTACTCTACAGACATTTATTTAATTAGGGACATTCCTACCTGTTGGCTGAGAGTGGCTTCCTGAATAAAAGAACTTATGAATAGGTTCAAAAAACAGAAAACAAAAGTAATTTGTATTGTTATTTTTTGTTTAGATCCAACAGAAAATATTTCTTTAAATGAAAAATTATATTCCAGAAGTTTGCTTATTTCCTTAAAATCAGGAAATTTCAATAATTTAACATCTAGAACACAATGGTGGGAAGTACAAGAATATTGCAATAAATCCAACTTTCCATTTTCTTTTCTAAGAGTTGATGATTGCAAATATTTGAGGATATTAATATTTAATGATAGAGTATTTCCTTCAAAATTCTATTTAATATCTAGATATGGGTAAGTATACTTTTATATATGAAAGTCAATTTTTTTCTGAATTTTTTCTTTATAATTATAATTTTCATGTAATTAATTGGAATTGTAATTAAAGTAGGAAATTTCGGGATTGTGTTTTTAGATTTATTTACAGATTGTAACTAAGATAGAATGATCTTTTTAAGTACTAAAACCAGAAAACTAGAGCTAATTTATAGTACATTATGTTTCACAAATCTTGACCAGCTGCTGTAAAGCACAATAACAACAAGTTTCTATTTGTATGAGAAGGGTTGTACAGGTTGTTTGAATACAACAGGATCTGTCTGAAGCACATTTTAGATCACCAATTCTGTTTAATACTCTAGAATCCCATTGAGTAATAATATGCATCTCCTAGCCAATATTTATGAAATAATTTGTATATTTGAATGTTTTTTATTTCATTGAACTATATTTAAAAGTTATATAAATTATTCTGAGCTGTTTGAACATTAAATCTTTTGGAATTCACTGACTAAATCAGGCATGGCCAACATACGGCCCGTCTAATGAATTTATGTGGCCTGTGATTAATCTTTCAATATTAGCTACTCAAGTCTGAATAGCTGGATGAAAAATTCTGACGCCTAAAAAAAAAAAAAGGGTCAACAATTCATTGTGCGTTTAGAGTTAGCCCTCTCTCTCTCTCTTCTTCTTCTTCTTCGATGGTGTTTATATGGAGATTTTAGCTCAATGTAGGCTCTTTCTCCGAGTAGACTTGTGTATGTGTATGATCGCTAGGCGACCGATTAGCCGGCTGTATCGAACAGCCATACGTACGCGCGGGAAATAAATGCCTTCCGGGAGGACTTTTATGGGGAACTGGCCTCCTATTCAGTCGTTATAGGCAAGGAGAAAACCCGGAAAACTCCTTAGAGTTAGCCCTCCATTTTACAAATCTCTTAAGTACAGCATAGAATGTTGATAAAACATGATAATGTGAAAAATGTATGTGTAATTTCTATCTACAATTTAGTCTCTATGGGGTGACACCACAATGAGATCTTGCACCACCTCAAAATCTTCCAAGGGCAGCCTCTGGTTCGGCCTGTGGAAAAAGTTTTCTTTCCAATTTGGCCCGGGGGCAAAAACTGTTGGCCATCCCTGGACTAAATGTTTTATAGATTTAACATCAGCTTTTCTACTAAAACATGACAAAATGTTTACATAGCTTAACTTTTTGTAAATTATGTAGTCTATACAGTGTACTTCATATATCTTAGAATAATTTTTAGTAAGTTTAATCTATAAACTTGAAGATAGAACTCATTTAAATTTGAGAGTAACATCAATAGTGTAATACAAATAAAATTTTGAAGAAGTCACACTAGAAATCACACTTTGATAATGTTGTTGTTATTGTGAAAAGTTCCAAACACTCACAATGTACAAAAAACATATTTACATCGAAAAATTAGTAAATACTCAGAACTTGCCCATCCACAGGGCCGGATTTGAGGCAATTGGAGCGATATGCACCAATTGGGCCCCGTGCTTGAAGGGGCCCTGCAGCACATCAAAATTTATATATTTAAAAATAGTACATGTTACAAAAATAAATATCTAGGTATATTATTATTATTAAAAATATAACAACAAATTTTTTTTCTCAAAAAGTTCATGTCGGTTGAGAGTCAAGAAGCAAGCCAGTTGGATTTTGATACTATTTTAGATTTTACAGAACAAAAACTTTGGAATGCATAAAACATCTCTTTATAGGTTTATATTCAATAAAATTCAATTATATTCATTCATCAACATATTAGAAGATTATTCATGGCAAAAGTTTATGTAGTTATATTCATTTAAAACTATAGAAATACTAAAACATATCTATGTATGTTTATATTCAATAAAATGTAGTAGTTTTTATATTTGGTACAGGTTTTTTTAATGTAGAAATTTGTCTACCTTATGGTTCATGAGTTTTGATTTTTATAATTGGATTTTGGATTTAAATAAATATTTAAAATCTATATTTCAATATGTAAATTAACTGTTAATTAATTTTGTTATTTAGAGTTTGAGAGGCCCCACAAAAAAATTCAATCGGGCCTCGCACCTATTGCATCTGGCCCTGTCCATCTGTGGACAATGGAGAATAAGGTACTTGTTGTGCTTATGATCTTTTTCCACAGGTGTCATACCATACACACTAAAGCTAGAAACATTAGGACTTTTCTCCTATATTAAACACATGGCATATAGTCAGGAAATTCTTTAATATAGATATGTACTGTACATGAACAGCTTGTAAACAAAACAGCTTGTAGCTATGCCCTGAACTTGGTCTAGCATAGCACTAGGCACTAGTATAAGGTGAATACACCAGTGCCTATTACTAGAGTAGGATACATTTCAGCAACACCATAATAATAATGTAATCATAATAAATATTGTAATTACTTATTTTATGAAGAAAAACTCATAAGCATGCATTTAATGTAATTGTGAATAACATTGTTATTTCTATTTGAATTTGTGAAATTCCAATTAAATGTTTAAAAAATATGAACATATAAAAATGTAATGCAATCTTGCATTATGTTTTTATACTACTTCAACGTACAATAAGTAATATCTTTCAGTATATATTAAAGAGAATAAATAAAAATGTACAAAGTGAAACACAAAGTTTCTAGATATGAGATGTCCCAGATCTCTAATTTAGAGAATATCTGGACAACAAATTAAATAAATAATGGATTTATGTTGAACTCAATATAGTGTAATCACTTTGAAGTCCAAAACAAATCATAATTTGTTTAGTTTTTTGGGGCATTTGGAAATAAATAATTTCTCAACTTTATCTGACAGTAGTCAAAGACTTAGAGGACTGTTTTAATATTTTTAACCTGAACATGGAATAAATCCAAAAAATATGAAAAAATTTAAATTTGTGTAGATAATTGAAGGAAATGTAACAAATAGAAAACAAATGTTAACAAATACAGTATTTATATAATAGCCTCTAACTCTAACACACATATTTATAAAACTTTGTTTTGTTGCAATGCTGTATGTAATTAATTTATATAGATTTTCTTTTATTTGTTGTTTGACTGTTTTTTAATGATTTCTTTTTTCAGAATAATTGGATTATATACTACTTTTGTAATGCTAGTTTCACACATGATACGCAGCAATTTTGTAGCAGGATCTTCATACTTTATCATGTTTCAGGATATGCCTTACGTTGATCGAATATTAAAACTCTGCTTAGATATTTATCTTGTCCGTGAGAGTGGAGAATTTTCTCTGGAAGAAGATTTGTTTGCAGAATTATTATTCCTGTATCGTTCACCAGAATCCATTGTTAAATGGACCAAATATCCAGATTAGCACTAATATTTATTTTTTGTAGATAATTTTAAAATAAATTCAGAAAATAATTTAAAATTATTCAAGTTTTTAAAAATGTGAACAAATACAGTATTTATATATAAATGGTAAATATCTTTAGATTTGTAATTGATATTGTAAACCATTTATATTTAGTTTCATTTTCTATTTTAGTCTTTTTTTCTTTTTACTTTGTAAATGCTAAAATATATTTAAATATACAATGTAATCTCATTATTATCAGCACAAAACCTTTCTCACTAATTTCTAGCCTTATTAACTGGAGTACAAACGTTTTCGGCCTTCGGCGTTCTAGTGAGAAAGGTTTTGTGCTGATAATCTTAGAAATAGTTCTAGCTACATATGCATAGTAATCTCATTAATTGAAACTTCAATTACTCCAAACCAATTTTTTTCTTGTTTTTATTATAAATGTTTCAACCAAAAAAAAAGATTATATCATAGATTATTTTTTAAAAACATGATAAATTTTTTAAGTTAATATGTACTACATTTTTTAACATAAATATATATACTAAATACAGTATAAAATTATTTTAACATACAATAAAATCTCCTTTCTGTAATCACAGATATTGTTGTTATTGATACAGTGGAACCCCGGTTAACGAACGTCCTGGTTAACGACCAAATCGGTTAACGAACTTTTATTTTGCAAAAATTTTGTCTCGGATAACGAACGTAACGGTATTTTGTGTCAAATTTTAGTTGGTGTTAGGCATGCGCGAGTTAAGCATTGCTTTTCGGAGTGTTTGTGCTATACTTCTTTTTTCAGTTTTGTGATTTATATATTTAATCAATATGACATCCAAGAAAAAAAAAGTCATAGTGGCAATAGAAAACGACAACGCGCTATCGCATTTGAGAAAAATTTTGATTTAAAGAGTAAGACAATTAGCTTTAGATCAGTTTCTTGTTCCTTACGGAAAGAGTTTGTTTGTTTGTTAAGTTATGGCAACGCAATAATTTAACAAACAGATCCCCCTAGGCAGATCGCCCAAGTGTTGACTTGGGGGATCTGCCTAGGGGGAATGCCTTCTGGGAGGTGTTTTTAAGGGAAACTGGCCCCTATTTAGGCATTACAGACGTGGAGAAAACCCGGAAAACTCCACGTGGCCAGCCCGTCTGAGCGAGGTGCGAACCCACGAACGAACTCCCCGTGTTCAAGGTACGAAGACCACTTAGCCACTGGTGGGTTTTTTTTACCGAAAGAGACTTCGACTCGAAGAATCTTCCGATGAAGTGCTACCCGTTATTTTTTTGGAGGGGATTCCCCTTCTAAGCATTAAGGTTCGTATATCTCCACTTTTCTGCCACCAACTACAACAAACGAAGGTATGTACAGTGCTATTTTATTAAACAAAGTTTACATGTTTGTTGCTGTAATGATAGATACTACGTTTTCCTACATTTTCATCAAAGAAAATTACTGTATATTACAAATAAAATCACAAAAATTTTGGAGACTAGAACGGATTAATTGCATTTGCATTAATTTCTATGGGAAAAATTGCTTCGGTTAACGAACAATTCAGTTAACGAACGGAGTCGCGGAATGGATTAAGTTCATTAACCGGGGTTCCACTGTACATTCAAAATTTGTGTCTCAAAACATACAGAGTACAGTCGACCCCCCCATAACACTGTTGTTTATTCCATTTTATATGAATTCCATGTTGTACAAGTCACTTAGATTTTACAAATACGTGAGCCATTCACAGCCCAGCACACGTATTTGTAAAATCTAAGTGACTTGTACAACATGGAATTCGTATAAAATGGAATAATCAACAGTATTATAGGGAGGTTGACTGTACTTAATAAAGTCCTTATATATCCATATATAATGAACACAGATAGCTACAGTTATGGTAAATTGACTATTTGCAATGCTCCTAGCAATAAAATTCTGAAGTTAGTCCTATCTCGAAAATGATACACAATATTGGGAAAAAAGTCAGTTACAAAGTTGTAAAGCATGACCAATTTAGTACAAAAGGACACCCTGCGTACATGAATAGCATGAATAAGAAGCATGAAATGCTAATATACACTGAAGCACAAACAGTAAAATATGTTTTCATTCGTTTCTTAGGTGCTTATAACATTAATATTTCTCATTTTTCTGTGTCTTGTCTGGAGTAGTTATGTTGTTTTTGATAACAGATAATTAGTTGTTCCAAGTGGTAAGCCGAATAGTTGGGTAAGTGTATAGATGATTTCGGAACAGTTAATGCAAATAGGCTGTGGGGCAGGGCATGTATCATCTGTGTGATGGTTGCCGCAATTTGCAATGGGCTTTGCTTCTGCAGTGTTGTTTAGTATGACTGAGACACCCACAGTTATGACATATTCTTGGCTGGTCTTCATACTATTCTGTATGGTATGCTGTCTGGTAAAGTCTTAATTTTGATTGTTCTGATCGGTAATTGTAGACCCTTACGTGTTCTGTTGAATCTCTGAACATGGACTGGGAAGAGACCATCGTCTTGTAGGAGTTCATAAAATTCTTGCGCATCAAAGTCAGTGGAAACACCTTTAATGACTATTGTTTTGATGTAGGAGCTGTGTGTTAAGGCGATGTGGATTGGAATATTTGCTATTTGCGAGTAGGTTAGCATAGAAAATCATCAAATTTCCTTCAGGGGGAGAATATTTTTCTGGATGTCGTTGAACTAAAACAGCTTCTTAATTTTCAGTATGGCACCAATCGAACGGCCATTTTGAACCCTGACTCTAGTATAATAACTGGGAGCATTCCAGTCTACTGTGACAAAAGCTCCCTCTGTCAGCCAGTTTGGGAGGTAAACTTTTGTAACTACTGTAGTATTTTATCAATCTACTGTAGTAATTTGCTTGATCTCCAAAGAGGAAATGTTGATAGTAGCTTAGTAAGTAAAAATTCATTTTGTTAAAATCTGTTTTATTGTTGATTTTATTTATTATTGACACTTATTTTTTTTGCAAATTTCATTTATTAAACTTTTAGTTTATATATTTCTTTTTTTAAACTTTTTCATATTTCTGTGAGTGTGGCACTTGCAGTCATTCTCCCTCTATCGACCAACATCCACGAATCAAATACCTAAACTTTTGGCTTCTGCAGAAACTGACGATATAAATAGTAACACATCCACATTGTGCAGAAAGTCCTTTAAAACAGCGTTTCTTAACAGGGGGACCACGGCCCCCTGGGGGTCCGTAAGAAGTTTGCCAGGGCCGACAAATTATGCAAAATTTTCTTCAGAATATAATAAAAAGAAAATTGATGTATAACCGAATATCGTATTGAAAAGTGAAATAAGAAAGATAAAGTTATCGTATTTAGTTTTTTATTTATTTCTTATTTTTTCCTATGTACAACTTTGTTAGTACAGAAAAAATAAATGCAAATATGCTACTTACACTACACTATTTACTTCTTTTATTTCAAAGTAATTCTAAGAAACTATTAAAACTATTAATGCTTGGAATTTTGCATACAAATTCGTGCAGAAAATCCTCCCGTTTTCAGCAGCAATGCAAAATTTGCTGCCTTTTGCAAGTACAGTGGTGCCTCGTACAACGTACAGTACTTAATCCGTTCCAGGTGCACGTCCGTTAAGTGAATCGTCCGTTATACGAAACGCATTTTCCCATAGAAATACATGTTAAAACATATAATTCGTTCCGCAGCATAAAATAACCGTACTGTACCATAAAAAATGAAAATGGAGCAGACACCAATTATGCCGGGTAGTCAGATGTTGTGAGGAGGAGGTGGAAGAACACTTTCTTTACACATTCATACAGATACAGGCTTTTTACACATTGCAGCGGGTCTTTTTTATTTTTTTTTTAATCGGAGTCAGATTCAGGAGAGGCTACCAGAACTTGCAGGGTCAACTTCTCTTGTTCCATCCTTTGTTTTTTGCCCGCTGGCTTCTTGAAAAACATGACCAAGGTGGTCTGTTTCTCTTTCTTCTTTAACACCTGTCGGAAATGACGGACAAAGGTGTCATCGTAGAGATCATTGATCCTGTTGGCCTCAGCTCTGTTTGGATAATGAGTGTTGGTAAACTCCTGAACCTCTCCCCATTCGACAAGAAAGTTTTTGTCAACTTTCACTCCTGATGATTTCTTGCTTTGTTTCAATTGAAATCACCTTTCTGTTTTTTTAGAAGCCATGATGCATTATAAATGACTTAACTTGCCAGATTATATGATACGAATAATTCTTTATTAATTAAGATCACTAAACACTTCTACGAGCTACTCTCGCTCCGTTTGTTTTTTACAACCTCTTTTCGTCCCGCCACCTCGGCATCTACACAATTACATTTCGTTTATTTGAATCGTCAACATATATTACATTACATTTCTACTTCAGATATACTAATAATACATTCTAATAATACTAATATATCCTAAAAATAGCAGATTGTCATTGGCAATGGCAAAAGAGTGGAAACATCATTCGCACTTGTTCGAAGAAAGTCCATTGTTCGTCTCACGTAACTGCCGAACGAAAAGTCCGTTGTTCGCAGCAAGTCCGTTGCTCGAGTCACGTAACGGTCAAACAGAAAGTCCGTTATTCGAGGCGTATGTGATACGAGCATGGGCGTAGCCAGAGTTTTGTTATGGGGGGCCTAGTGGAGGCCAACCTGACACAAAATTGAATTATTTCAAATTATTGTTCATTATTGGGCACCGAGCAAGCCGTTCACCTTTTTTTTAGTATTCAAAACTTTTATTTTAGCTTTAGGTGTTTACAAATCGACTCAACACTTTTACGGCTGTAATTTCCTGGGGGGGCACCAGGTTACCTGGGAGGGGCCGTGCCCACCCAGGCTCCCCCCTCGCTACGCCCATGGATACGAGGCACCACTGTATGTCTTTTCAAATATTTTTTGTAATTTTCTATGAATTTTGAAATGTTTCTTATTTTATTTTTTGTTAAAAATGAATGAGCTTTTATGTTTAATTGTGGAGTTTGAATGTTAAGTGTTTGATTCAATTTTATCTTTATAAAATTAAGCTGTAAAACTGAATTAGCTCTATGGGGAAACCCCCATAAAGTTTGACCTATTGACCAGGAAGTTTTGCCAGCATCTCATTGATAACGAGAAAGGCTTAAGTTTAAAATTTGAGCTATCTAGACCCAATAGTTTTTCTCTATGAGCATTTGCAGTGCCAGATAAAGAAGAAAATACTGCTTTTTTGGGAGATTTTTGCACATTTCAATTACTTCTATTTCGGCAACAGCTTTATAGAAAATCTTGAAATTTTGCACACTACATAAGAAAACAATTTTCTTTCGAACGAGATATTCGGAATTACTTCAGGTGTTTGAGGGGCGAGTAAGTCGACCCCCAAAAATCGACAACTCTGATTGCTGTATATATATAATCAGTCGATGACATTTTTACTTGGCAGGGAGTCACTACCATGACGCCTGATATGTCAATTAAAACTTTTTATAAGGATTTTTCTAAACAGTGTAACGAAAACGTTGGTCTGCGGTCGTCGAGCGCCGATCGCCGACAGCCGACCGAATTGTACGTAGTCGTCGTCGTCATCATTATTACGTCTTATGACACAATAATGACGACGACTACGATTTAATACAAGGTATTATTACGTCATAAGACGTAATAATACCTTGTATTAAATCTTATGTTTAATAATTGTAATAATACAACGTATTACGTCTTATGTCTTGACGTAATAATACAATTATTAAACAAAAAACAATTGATATCTAAACAAAAACATATCACGAAAAGTAGAATAATACAGGTAAAAATCTTGCGAGTACCGCTTCCAAGCGCCAAGCTTATCTTTACCAAAGAAAAACTTTAAAAAATTTTTTTGACTCGTCTAAATCAGTGTTCTTCAACCTTGGGTCCGCGGACCCAAAAATTTCCTTCAGGTCCGCGAAAAATTTCTTAGACTGCCAGAAAATTTTGTAATAACAAAATAATATTTTAAACCTGTAATTAATTAATATAAACTGTTTTTATTTATTTATTTTTTAATTATTAAAATTGTTTAAATAAAGTTACGGCAGTCGCGTGCGTCTAAGCAGTTTTAAGTCTAAGAAAATTTATTATTCCAGTATATATTTTAAAAAGTGACAATTCTAACAAATGCGGTTGCAACTTTACGTAAAATAGATTTTATTACTGCATTTTTGAAACGACGCAGTTACATTACCGATGCGTCATTGCTATCCACATTATTGTTATTGTGATTGTGATGTCATACATTTAAAATAACGCTATAAAAATAATAACTACGACCGATAATTGCGAATGAAGTCGCGTAGCTCTCGTTTGATAGCAAAATAAATAAAATGCGATGGCCGATTAACTACGCATCGTTTGATTTTATCCGGTAGGTGGCGCTTGTGTTATCAACATGGCGGGTGGAAAGAAACAGTCGAATGTTTCTAGCAAACTAAAATGGCAAAATTATCAAGGAAAAAGAGGTCAGGGCGCGGGGAGAAAACCCGTATCGGAGCAAGCAACGGTTAAACAATTTACCCTTCTGTTATTTATGCACATTTGTAGAAAAATAGTTCTAATCAAACCCGATTTGAAAGTGAGCATTTACTTTGGTGCTTTAATGTTCGGTTCTTTGGTTTGTGATTTCATTCCAGTGCCTAGATCTTACATGGCTCGGAAGGACAACGTATTCAATAAATATTTTGTCAAGTTGGGATGGGGATGGACTCTGTGCGTCGTGGGAACTTTCGTTTTTCTAACCAGTTGGACTTACTGCTGCGGCAATGCGGTCAGAGTTCGCAAACATTTGAGTCGCGTCTTGATCAGCACGGTCGCTTGGTACTGCTGGACGACACTTTTCGTCTTCATCGAAACTTGGACCGGATACTGTACTTCGGATAGATACTCCACCAGGTTGTCTTGCATGAGACACGGGCACCGTTGGACCGGGTTCGATATTTCCGGGCACGCATTTCTTCTGGTCTACAGCAATTTATTTCTGATGGAGGAAGCAAAGTGCATCCGCGGTTGGGAGAGAATTGGAGAGCTCATTCGGAATGAAGAGTTTGACGAAAACAGCCCGTTGCGTAAACTGGAGGAGCGGGAATTGAGTAATTTAAAGAATTCGTATGAAAAATACACGGTATTCATCAAAGCGCTGTTTATCTTCATGACTGGATTGTATATTTTGTGGGACGTTATGTTGATAGGCACGATCCTGTACTTTCATACGATGGTGCAAAAAGTGGCGGGAGGAATAATTGCAGTGGTCACCTGGTTTTTTACGTATCGGGTGTGGTATTGCGCGGAATCTTCTCCCGGTTTGCCGGGACAGGGTCCGTTCAAATACTCTGAACTTCACAGGATTCCCAGAATCTTTAATCCTGCTGATATTCAGTAAATTTATTACTTTTGAAAACTTTTAATGTTTTTATACTTGGTTTTTCTTTGTTTTGGTGTGTGGAATTTATACTCATTTTGTCACAACTAAAAGTGAATTGTTGAAAATAATTAGCAACGTTTATTGGGAAATAGATATTTATTCATTATTTTAAATGAAATAACAATGCATCTACAGATCTAAGTTTGGAATGTTATACTGCTGGTAAAACTGAATTGCTAAAAATCGTTCATTTTTTTTCAACAAGCAAAACAAATCAATTTTATAAAAATTATACTAAATTTTCTGTACAGCCAATACAACGATCAGTATGTTCAAAGCTTACGAGAAACAGATTCTACTTACGGGTAGTTGATATAGCCATGATTCTAAAATTTACCATTTGAATTAACGAAAAAAATCAATTTAATCTGATAATTTTAGTAAAACTAAAAAGTTTTATTAAAATATTTCATAATTCAATTATGCAGAACTATAAAATATAATATTGATTCAGTTCTACCACTGTTTTGAATCTATATGCTATGTTTTTAATATTCCAACCAGTTAAATTGTAAATGCTGTCAACACTTGTAGATAATCTACGATAAGAATGCTAAAATTTATTGCGTCGATAAAGAATAACAGCTATGGCCGCTATGCTGAGCACGCTGGCTATACTGACGACCGTGGCAAAACACTTTCCGTGGATCCCGACGCAGGAAATTGAACCGAAGATGCAGCCGTGGTGATTAAATGTTTTCTTATAGCAGTCTTTTTGTTGTACTTTCTTAAAGTAAGTAGCTACGTTTGGACGTTTGTCTTCGCCGAAGTAACGTTTCCATAGACCAAGCAACAACAGTCGATTTAATAAAACTGAGAGCGATATATCCGCTATGGTAAATTTTTCTGTACATAACCAATAATCGGAGTTTTCTGAAAGGTAACGATATATAGAGTTAATAATCAATACTAAAAGATAATTTAAATATTTATATTAAGAGAATAAATTATTGAATTTTAATTCAATATTTTATATGTAGTATAATATAAAACTGCTTTTTTGAATCTGTAATTTTTGTATAAAAAAAAAAATGTTAAAATACTTTTAAGGCTGCAATTTTACAAACTCATGTATTAAAAAAGCAGAAGTGAGAAAAATAGTCTTAAAATTCATGCACAAAATGTTAAGCATTTATTTGACTATTTATATAAGATATTTACTAAATCTTAATTCAATAGTTTTAAAAAAATTTCTATATTTAAGAAATTTTTAACATGTTTGGAATCATTTTTTGATGATTCCAAATATGTATGAAGAAATTAGTTTAATATCACTTCTAATAAAAGGAAATTTTAAAAATTTCCAAAGGGCTTGGGATTTATTTAAGTTATTGAACTAACAATAATTTATTGTGAAGTTAATTTTTTGGTATTACCATAGAGATTTATAAAAGGATCTTTCTGGAGAACTGTACTGAAGATGAAATTTTAATACGACAAGAAGCAAATTTTTAATGTTATCAAGCTTCTATATTTGCTTCTAATCTAAGGCCTTTTGGGAAAAAGTGATAAGGCCTCAGATTAGAAGCAAATATAGAAGCTTGATAATATTGAACTTAAAAAAAATAAAAATTAGATGTCTGACAATAAAACACTAAGCTGGAGCCATATGTGTGTCAGCAAAAGAGTTTTTTCAGAGGAACGAATAAGAAAATGTAATATATAAGTAATTTCTAATAGGACAGATATTTCATTTATACATAGATGATGACTAAGTTTTTTGACAACGTATTTCCTTTGATTAAGCTTTGGAATAAAAGTGCTGTTAAAAAGAACCCCAGGATGAAAAGTTTGGGAAACATGTTGGAGTACTGCACTGTATAGGATTAATGTAATTTTGAGTGACATGTAAGGAGTTTAAAATTCTACCTCTTGAAATTGTTTATAGTCAGACAGCACTTTCTACTCTAAGGAACACAAACGTTTTTTGAAATAAAATTCTAAATATTACCAAATATTGAGAGTGGGAAAGTTGTGATTGAGTTCTTAAGCCAAGAACTTATCAGCTGAAGGAAAACTCTGCTTTAAACTCTCCATCTGTTTTGGAAAGAATGGTGAGTCTGAACCAGAAGATGATGGTCATATCCTGATTCCTATGACAATGTAATAAGCAAATTGAAAGATGTTGATTGGGTTAACTATGAAAACTGCAATTATTTCAAGAATTGTAGCTGTAACTCATAAATACAGTAACAAATGGCTTTGGTAGTTTGGAAAATGTATGAATAATTAAAGTATTTATTTCAATTTTTACCCACTCTTCTCCTATTGCAAGGTAATAAATCCTAGGGAATATGTATGTTTTAAAAATAAACTTTCCCAAGGTTTAATCAAAGAAATATGATATATCAATTTAGATAAAAGAGCAGCAGCAACAACAACAACATTCATAAAGTAATGCCAAAAATCTCCAAAAGAATTTGCAGATACTGTTTTACAATACAGTGGGTGATCGGTTAATGAACATAATCCGTTCCAAGACTTTGTTTGCTATCCGAATTGTTCGTTAACCAATTATCAATTTACCATAGGTTTTAATGGGAATTTAATTAATTCATTCTGGAGACCGCCAAAAATAAAAAAAATATATACTTTCTTACTATGTTTATTTATATGTAATAATAAAAATACATACATGCACAGTCTTGCGTTTTTATTAGTCATGTTTTTTCCATTTGAAAGGGTTAAAGAATCTGTCTAATATCGATTGCTTTTTTCTCTTCTTCAGGATTTTTTNTTCTTACTACGTTTATTTATATGTAATAATAAAAATACATACATGCACAGTCTTGCGTTTTTATTAGTCATGTTTTTTCCATTTGAAAGGGTTAAAGAATCTGTCTAATATCAATTGCTTTTCTCTCTTCTTCAAGATTTTTCGTAAGTAATTAATAGCATTGCAATTGTAGAAATCCCCAAGCCTCAACCTGGTTTGGATGCCATTCTAAGACCATTATTCTGACATCTTCCCATTTCTTCAAAAGATCTTTAATAGCAGATATCGGCATTAATCCTCTTTTTCAGAAGAAAACATATCTTGCCAAGTTTCTTGGCATTATTCTGTTGTCAGATCCTTTTCAGGTTCCATTATGAACTCTTCGATGTTCTTTATTTCTCAGATGTGCTTTTTGTTACTCCTTTAGCTGCTTGAGGTCTTCTTGATTATACAGTATCTTTCTTAAATAAGATTGAACTGCAGCCTACTGTAGACCTGTTCATGCCATACTGCCCAGCAACATTAAGCATCTTCTGCCCACTCTCTACCTTTGCTATTATACTCTCAGCTTTCGAAAAGAAAAACAGACGCAAAACTTAACGAGTGCCTGCCTGACAGTCTTGCGAATACATAAAAGAATTGTTTTTGTCAGAAAAATAAAAGGCTGGAATTACAAGGGAGAGTTTCAAAGTTCAGAGAAATACTATCCAATTGGTATATACCGGCTTGAGCGTTGATGTCAATGTCTCCCACACTCCAAAAAGTTTTGAATTGTTGCCCAAAGACAAGAGAAGACCAATCGGTATTCATTATCCGAACATAAAAATCTTTCGCGAAAGTGTTCGTTAACCGATCACCCACTGTAATTGTGAAATTTTTGGCCAAATTTGAACACACAATTTTTCATCTTATTGCTAAGCAGAACTATCTTATGTAATCTGGAAATATTTTTCTAAACAGAAAATACTAATTGTGAAGCATATACAGAAAATAATAGAAGATTCCCATCTTAAATCTCTTTCTCTTGTTTATGAATACTTAAGTATTATTTTTGTAGGCAAAATATTTTCTTAAAAAATTAGTTCATCTCAATAGCAGCAGTTACTCATAAAATGTAAAGTAACTGCTGGATTTCATTTTATTGTTTGGAGATCATTTCAAATAGTTGATATTTTATATACAGGGTGAGAAAGAATGTATCCAAAGTTAATTCACTCGTATCAGAAACACTGGTGTGTATAACACACATGTTGCCATCTTGAATGCAACTCTGAAACTGTAAACGAAAAGGCGATCATGTAACATCATTTAGGGTCAGAATTTCACAAGAAATTAATTGCTGAAAGTTTTCATTGACCTACCTCGAACAGTTAGTGTTATATACATTACATTGCTCAATGTGTACAGTACATTCTATATTCTGCAGCAGGGGTGTTAAGTGACTTTCGTTCCCACCCTGTATGTAATCTCTGTTATGTATTATTCAGTTCTTTACATAATCATTTCAATCTTCATATTGTCAGCACAATAATAGTCTTAGAATCTATTGCAATAGAATTTTTGAGAAAGCACAAAATATTTGCATACTTTTTCAATTTCAAAAGTGTTTACACAACAATATGTATTGTGAACTGTATATACTGTGAATTCTATTTTTCAGATATTAAATTGAAAATGCAGATAATGAAATAAATTTATACTTCAAATGTTTCCATTTAAATTTATTGTTTTATTCCTTAATGTTTAATTCACTACCTGAAAAATGAATTTGCAGAAAAATTCCTATATATTTTGTACAATAAAAGGATAGGTTTATTTATCAACATTTTTAATAATTTGCAATATTAACAAATAAATTTTCAAGTGATTATTGGAAGTATGGATTATTATAATGTGATTTTTTTTTATTTTTACTCATTAGATAGTTTTTTAAGGCTTATTTTATTTTATAAAGTCAAAAATGCTTATTAAATAGGCATTATTTGGTGATATTGAGAGAGAGAGAGAATATCTTAAAAATTAAGTTTTGTATATGTTAATGTAAAAGTGTAAAAATTCAATATGGAATAAACTAACTTTTTTTGTGGTTATAAATTATTTGTTTAGCAGAAGATAGATGTTAAAGCACTTCAATGGATGACTTTTCATTGGGGAAAAATACATTGCATCACAAATTGGCACAAAGCAAGATTAAAAAAGTAAGAATGAAAAATATACAAAGAAAAGCTTATGATACACACATATTAGCTCTAAATAACTAGCAATTTATTGCAAGCAACTAGTGTTCAATCTACATTCCCATATGATCTGATCATCTAAACCAGAGTTTTCCAACCTTTTTCTTATTGTGGACCAATAATTTTGGTCTATGTGGTGGTAATTATATGGAACTATGAGTTGTACTTATCTAAAGTTATTATACATAACAAACTGTGATATCATCAGTGTGGTCAAATATATTTCTGAGGACTGGCAGTTGAGAAACACTGATCTAAGCTTAATTCTTGCACTTGTACATACATACTCCACCAGGAAAATGTTAATTGGGGATGTGTGTATATTTCTTCATACATTTTTTAGCCAATGTTTATATTTTCTGCATATTGTTTATTAAAAATGATGTATAAAGTTTTGAGTTACATTCTAAATACTATTGGTCCAATTGTTAGAATTGCACATAGACATTTTGAAGAGCCCCAACTGTCATTGAAATATAGCAGGTTTCAGATGAGGAATCTTATTAATGCTTCATATGACAAAAGGCCTAAACACACTTTTGTGATGTCACTAACAGTAGCCAATCAATTCTCCATTGTAATTGTTAAAAATATGTTGAGATTTATTCATTTTTTTTTTATTATAAATTTTTGTGTCCATTTTTTGAAACATCTCTACTGCTGTCTTTGCTATGTGCCATATTGTTAAGTTGTAGCACAGCATGCAGCGTACATATATTGAGCATTTTATATCATAATATTATAATTAGTAATATATATTATATATGTTATATCAATCTCATTCTCCAAAATTTTTTTCCATTAAAATAATGGAAAATAGGCTTACAGTTAACAATTTCATGCAGAACATTGATTTTCAAGAAGGGATTACCAATGTTGAGCAGGATAATGGCTTTATATAAAAAGCTGCCAAACAACAA